AGTCAGTTCTTTTCAATTTGCCGGAGTGCCTTGTGCCTTTTACTTTACACCCATACTTGAGTCGCCTATAACTTTTTTTCTTGTTTAATGTTAATTGTGCGGATCGTTGTGACTCTGCCAGTGAGTGAATGATCGTCCCGATGAAAGCTAAGAGATCTAAACAAACACGGGCGCACGACCGCAGTTCCGCAGACTCCCCCGATTTGCTCGGCTGCACGGTGACGTACATGCGACACCATTGCAGCTGCTGCCAGTTGCATCGCGGGCAAATCACCATATATCAAAAATGATGATCGCGCCGCCAAAAAGACCAATTCGTCATTCTTGTAGTCATAGTAACCACACTTTTTTTGTACAAGTAGACAGTGCGTCTGGGTATTATTGTTTGAAGAGATATTACGTTTATATTCATAATGGAAGTGGGTCATTACCTATTAATTTAAATGAAACATTCGTGGTGGCACAAAAGTTAAAAATGCAATCATAACTCGAGAGGAAAAACAAATTTACTCAAATACCATCCACTTTGTTACTGTGAATCCAACTTGTTTAACATTCTACAATATTCGTATAATTGCGATTTATAATTTTCCTGTCGTAATCAAGTTCCAATATACATGTACATTCGCTTCAGTACGTGTTGGATCTTTTTTTGCGGAGCGGTAGCAAGTGTTCGCGAATGCATCAATCATGTAGTAAATACATGCACATCTTGACGCACACAGTTCGACGTCTCACCTTTCTAGCGCTATCGACAAGAGTACGAAAATTCAAATCACCACCACCCGACCCTTCGAGTGTTCATTCACCGTTAGCGTAAACGATGAAATATAATGTGTGTGTTTTTCATAGCACGATGCCAGTGATCACTACGCAACATTTGCAATCCGTGTAACGAAAGTCATATTTGCGCGTTCATGATTCTGAGATGTGAATACTGGCGCAAAGAAATGGCAGTTTATAACATGTCAGCCCCTTGTCTTAGATGTACATTTGATATTACACATAGCCTGTGTCATGAACCGTAAAAATAAGCGTATGGGTCTATTAATGCGACCTCTAATATGACGAAGGCAAGTAAAGAATCAACCAAACTATCCGGTAACTCTGTTCACTCTTTTCACGGCCACGCTTAACCAAAAAAAAACCCCAAAATAGATCGACTTTTTTTTCAACAAGATTACACATTTGCAGGTATAAGTGCTTTTTTGATCGATGCCACATTTTAGCAGACCTGCGGATATTTATGTAATTAAAGACACGGTTAAAACTGTGTAAGGAGTGTAACAAATGATCTGAGCGAAAACTATGTTATCAAAAATGTAAGACAACGTCCTGCAGTTTAAGAATTTGTATAAAAAATTAGATATTCTTTTTATGATTTACATGTATTTTTCGTAGAAATAAAACTATGAGAGTTTCGAACCAGCTTAATTCAGATGCCCTTTAAAGACCTTTTTCATGTAATGGTAATTCAGACATTGGCGGTGATCTTGCCCTCTGTTTGTTTCGTGGGCTAATACTACTACCAATACAACTCATTTTCATGCCACGTCATTTATTTACTTTAAGGTAGGAATCAAATCTTTACTCCAAATACCGACTAGAAAAATGCTGCCCAGTTGTCTCCTTTCAAGTCTTATTCTATCCCAAAGAAATCAGCTGGCAATGAAAAATAAACTGTCCCCTTGAGTTTCGTGAAGATTGTGACATCTTTCCCCCTTCGTTTAAAACTACGTTGATATTTCTTAAATGCTGGGGAGTCAGAAAAGATGATTTTAACCACTTAATGCCCGCTTTGACCGATTGCCAAATCTCCTCTGGCGTCACTCGTGGCCGCCGAATGTTATAAGGTTGTCTATATCATTTACTGATGGCATCTTTCGTTCTGCTTGGAATGTGTTGTGTTGAGCTCAATACCGATTTATTGAATTGGCATGGCTACAGATTCTTGTCTTCGTTCCTACGGTTACCGATGGTCACACTATAACGTTGATGGTCAATGTGGAAGAGGCTGGTATCAGATTTGGGCATTAGATAAGGAAGATATCTGTCACACACGCAAGAGGCTGACTTTTTCGACGCCTGCATGCATGAATGTCATTTTTTTAAATCGTTCATGATACTTTTTTGCTCATGCGCAGTGGCAGCTATGGCTGATAATACATATTGATTAGCTGTGAAAAAGAAACGTTTCCAAAAATTTCGGGGCAACTAGTCTTTGGCATTACGTACATAGAGGTCCTTCGATCATAATATACATCATGACGTCCACAGTGTCTGAAACTCCATTTTTTCCCACAGATAATCAAGATGGAGCGGCGACTTTTTCTTGGTTGGTCCACGGTCTTAGTTCTCCTCGTGCCTTTGTTAATAGAGCTCCCACGACAGTCGTCAGCGGCGCCCTTCAACTACTCGGCGCACTGCCGCGATATGAACCGCGGTACAAACGCGCTCTTCCTATACACAGTACGCCAGTTCGAGGACCGGGTGGCGGCGCTGTACAACCGCCACTTCAGCAAGGATTTAACGCCCCCTCACGGCATTAACCGCCTGGTCAGGATGTACTACCGTCTGAGGGAGGTGCGGGACCAGGCCCAAGACATCGAGCAGCTGGTCAGCGAGGTGGAGGAGGTGTTCCTCCTACGATTGGGGAGGCTAGAGAGGGACTGTAAGATGCAGATACACGGCTAGATTTGGAATGACCCAAAAGATGACCTGACAGATGACAGAACAACCAGTGGCGGGGACAGGATAGTTTGAGAGGAAAGAGGACTTCAGTAACTGGTGGGCTTCAAAGCGATTAGGCACTCGGAGGAGTAGGCGCTTTGGGTTTAAGAGTGATTCAAAATGCAGTATAATCTGAGCAATGTAAACGGGCGTGAGGGTTGGGAAGGAGGGACTTCAACCCTTAATTCCTGTTCTGGCCACTGAAAAACCACGTCTGGGACAAGAACTCGTGTTGTCGACCTTGTCTGGGACAAAAGCCACATTCACCGCCGGATCGACAGATTAGAGACTTCCTACATAAAAACTTAACCTATTTTAGATCCGCTGCTAATCTTAATGCGAAGGTAAAAAATCTATGTTTATCTCCGTTCCCTGTGCAGGATTTGTTACAATTTAGCTTATAAAACAACCTGTAAATAGGAGCTTTCTCCATAGTAACATTACACGTAATAAGATGATACTGGCGCCCACTCGCAATAGCTCCATAGCTGTAGTGAGTTACTGAAGAACGCGCACTCTAGGTATCACTTCAGTATACGACATATAAATCGTATTGCCCCACTCTCCTACAATATAGAGCTACAAAGAACACTTGAAATAAGATATTGGTTTCTTCTAATATTGCCTATCACTGGTCTGACCTCCAAGTCACGTAGTCACTCTAAACTACACACACCGATCATCTTTACAAGTCATGCAATCCCCGATCGAAAAAAATGGCACGAGAGTGGGAAATATAAGACGGAAATGAATAGTATACTTTTATGCATATTCAAGTTCGCCGTGAGGTAGATGGAATTCATATCTTTGCTTTCAAACACAACTCTTACGAATTTAACCTGTATCAATATTGACATTTTGTATCATTTTCGATCAGATCCTTCTTTGGCGCCCACGCATCTCATATTTTTTCCCTCCAAGTGAACCGTATACTAACAGACGACGAAAACTGTCAATCCATACTCTTGAAAAAACTGTCTACATTGTGGACAGCCCAAGGCACCTAATGTCTGACAAAATCGAATTCACAGTTCAATTGCGCGCTGATAAAAGTAGTTACATGAATACACCAGGCAATCACCGTGCCTTTGTGTTTCGCCCAGGCCTTTTTATAGTGTGACCTGTCCTGCTGTTAGTGTCGATGACCATCAAGTTATTGACAACAAAATGAGCTCCCAATGAGAATCTTTTAGTTCAGAGTTCCACGCCATAAAAACTTTCATTCAGTGAATACTCAGTGATATGAAAAGATGTTGTAGTCCATAAATATTAACATTAGATGTTCTCTTACGCAAGGACAAACTGTAATACTTGTTACGATTGGCAACGCCCACATTTATATTTCCCAATGTTATTTCAAATTCAGAGCCATATTATGCAGGGAGACTTGCGACATGAGGTCATGCATGCCGCCATTTTGCTTGGGTTTTGGCGCGTGGGCTCGCACTGATCGCTTGGAACTTGACCAAACCCCGACCAAACTTTGACTGGGTTCCACATTTGCTGCAAACTTCCAAACATGTCCCAACTTTCTCTGTATACTGCTCTGTTCAAAATAAAGAACGCCCTGAAAGGTTTTCATGTTTACGAGAAATAGATTCGTTTAACTCTTAAACTCAGCTGCAATGTGAAATAGCCAGTCATATATGCAGATGCGGTATATAATTTGCAGAGTTCCACAGCCCGTAGACTTAGTGTTTTTAAATTAGGTGTAATACCATAGGTTATCTGAGAAATAATTGCGATTAAAAAATTGTTAAAATTAGCAAAATAAAAGCAACTAGTTGATTTAAGAATGACTATTTTCAGGTTGAGTCTTTCACCTCCGAAGCCTTTATTCTGTTGGCTTTTCGGTGCAAGAAAAATAAAGATTCGAAATTATTACCAAGTATAAATAGTATAAATAGTAATAAACTGAATGTTGTACTTGCAGAATCAAAAGATGCACGACATTCGTAACTGTGATTTGAATAAAATCAAAATTCAAACAGCAATCGTTATCTATACCTGTAATGACTCGTTTACTGTGCTTTGCTGGTTGGTCGGAACTTACTGAGTATGAATATGCTTGCTTATTCAATCCAGTCGGTTATAAATGGTAACAATGTCCTTTATTAGACATCCTGATAGAATTCCAAAGTTCGTTTTACCTTGTTATTGTCTGCACGTAAAATGTTGGAGTTCATCAGCACTCTTGTTCCCTTAGTCCTACTCCACAAGCGATGAGCGAGATAAAACAAACATAGAAGCACATAACAGGAACAGCGCGTAAGCAGCAGACAATAGTATCTCCTTACCTCTTGACACCGACTGCCATATTTCTGCTGAAATACGCTCGTGATCCATAGAGCAGCTCATGCACTCCTGAGTCAACCGAGATTGACAACTGGAGCGCATTTTACTATCTGCAAAATTCAGAATGTCTGGGTACTTTGAGGGAGCAGCTTCATAGCCACTGTAGGAGGCCAGCAGGACGCTTACACACGTACCATGGGCCTACAGGCGCCAGTTCACCGGGGCCCTCGTGCATTTGTGCCGATGGTATCTGTTATTTTATTAGCTGGTTGCCAAGTCCTGGCGGAATCGGCGGGTGTAGATAGTGCGAGAAACGCCCAAGGACAAGGGGCACACGACAATGACACGGTGAGAATGGTTTTCCTTAATTTTGTATGCAAAATCGGTCACCATTTAACAAGAAATCCAGGTTAGAGACCGCTTGGTAAATACAAGACGCTTCATCTTGCACCGAACATTTGTAAAAAGTTCTAAAGAGTTCATTTTAATATTCAACGAGGGATCGTGGATGTTGTAAAGGAAGCGCATGATTGTGGAGTATCAGTTTCCATGAAAACAATTAAATTATTCTTCAATTGCAGGAATGACTCCTGACCACATAAATCATTTTTCTTTTAGGCCTTAATTTTCTAAGTTTTCAAACACTTCCCACATAAAAATGTCCCCGACACTTAAACCATTTGGAACTTTTCAGAGGATGTAGGTTAAATTTACATGTGCGTTGCATGGGGGGGGCAAGAGGGTGCTTCCCCCAAAAAGTTTTAAAAGGGGGGGGGCAAAGGAAATTTTAAAAAGGAGATGGAAGTCACCAATTTGATTGAAAATACCTCGAAATTGACCCTCTTCCACTGTGAATAGTTTACCTGTCTTGTTATTGATGAGTGATTTGCCCCCTCGAGGACCCATCCCAAAAAAAAAAGGTTCACCTCTTGAAAGAATCCTGGCGAGATCTGCCTTTTGTAGACCTAACTGTGCCTTGAATGATATAAAGCTCAGCCATGCTAAGCACAACAGGTTAATTAATAGAGGTACACAAGGAATTATCGGCAGTTTGTGTGTGATGAAATGCTCGATATCCTTTTGTTCGGAGACGAAGATAATGTTCAGCAAATACACTCGTCTTCCTAATCATTTGTTTATCTGGGTAAATCCTTAACGGCAACTTTATCCGGGCATCCACTTTACGAATGGTGTTACCCAATGCCAATTTATCTGATCCGTCTGAATGAAATTGTAGTTGGGAGTGACTGCAAGCGGCTGTAGGTTTGTTCTGCGTTGTGATTTTCCTCCAACAATTAGGAATAGGTTATTCAACACGTGGATCGTATTCATTTGGTTTTCGGCAAGCAAGCAGGCTAGCAAATTATTCGGTGTAATGGTAAGGTAGACACGTGTTGTTTTACTCCGTTTGTCGACTAGCTAAAGGAAAGATTATCACCATTGTCGAGAGATAACCTTTTGTCCTGCCACTTGCTGTATAGGCCTATACCTGTTGTCGCAAAACTTCACGTAAATGTGTATGGTGAATCCTTTTCTGTCTTTGCCCTGTAATTGCTGCATTTGCTAAGTACAGTCACTCCGGGGTTATTGTTGTAACACCAATGGTTAGCAATGGCACCAGCACTGCATTTCTAAAGTTTCCGTTATCTGTTGTTGTCGATATACTCTCCCTGCTTCTTTTTTAAAACAGTGTATCTATTACCACGAACTGAACTCTGACGAACAATGCAAGTTCATCCAGACTACGGAAGATTGCAAGCCCGATAGTGGTTTCGTCAACTACTTGGAGTTTACGTACTGTTCTTTCTCGGCTGGTCTACAACCACTCGCACTAGTCATACTGGTGAGAAAAAAGAGGGCGTGTGAAGTTGTATTTTGGGTTTGTGATGAAGCAGCCAAAAAAGGTGTAACGTTAAGTGAGCATGTAGAAGGCAGTTTTCTCAGTACTTTATGTCTTTCCGCCATTTGGACTGATAGGTTTGCTCCTCGTGCGTCCTCTTTGTGTTTCCGTGGATGTGTGTTGTGGCCACAGAATGATTAGAGTTACTACAGTCACTAAAGTATATTCAGCACGATTCCAGCGCTGCGGGTATCGTTTTTCAAAAAGAACTGACGAACACATTGGGAATTCTGAAACAACTCAGTGATTTTGTTTTTTGGTTTGCCTGTTTGTTTCTCTTCCTGATTTTTTGTCTGTCTTTGCCGTTACAGTTCGTCTGGCTTTCTTTCTTGTTTGTCTGCCTCGGGGTTGCGGCCAAAAACTTGTGAGTGTAAAGAAGACATCTGATGCTTCGGCAAAATTATTTGCATGATAAATAAGAGTTGATTGTTTGGCAGTTACTTGAAACTTTGGGAAGAAAAGTTGTTCCTTGATAGTCACATGCGCAGTCACATGCCATGCTGCAAGGCTTCGTTTGCTATTAGAAATTTATCCAAATAAGCACGCCACAATAATGTTGACTTGTTGATAAACGCCAAAAAAGATAAGTAACCCCAGGGTCGAAGTGCAAAGTCCAGCTCAACTCAGGAGACCTGGCTGATTAATTTCTCTCAGCCACTCTCATAATGCAAAATCATAGCAAATATCGTGGAAGAAATTGCAAGAGTTCTTGTTTTTCATTTGGAAAAGGTTATTCCTCCATTGATTTGCGACTTTAGTCTGGTTTTCAGTGTTTGCACCGTTTCTTTTCTATCTTGTACAGCTTTTGTCCGGCGCTGCTGACCATCTCTAAGGCGCTGAAGCTTAGCGACAACGTTGCAATATCCTTTTTGCTCTGTGTTGCTCTTGCTTCAAGTGTATTCATTTTGAAACCCACTCTAGGGGAGGAAAGTGCTGATTTGGTTTGCTGGATACTTGGTATCCTGGTTTCTAGACGAGTTTATCAGTTATTTCGCGTATCGCATCATTCAACTTAGACATTTATGATAGGCCCCTCCTTCTCTGGCTACGTTAGTGCATCAGATTTCGAGCAACTGTTCTGGGTAAGGTGAATGTCAAATTTGTGTCACATTGGCACTGAATCCGCCATAAAATCATTTTAGAATATTCTTGATTTAAAATGCACGCTGTCGTATCAGTGACTGACACCAAAGCTCTTTTTCGGAGTCGTTGTTCAGCCTTAACGTTTTAGGTGTCAACACGGAGTGACGTTCCTAGCCTTTGGCAATGGCGCCCCTGATGTTTTCAGTGCTGTTGTGGCCATCACGAATTCTAAAGATGGAGATGCAGGGTTGGCCATTGGCGCGCTCTTCGGTAAGTTAGAATTGTTTGAGCTTTTGTAATCACAATGTAATCCTGAGCTCCTTTGTGAATAATAACATTCTATATAAAGGACAAGCAACCTTTGAAAGTACCTTTTTTGCACAATCATTCCAAATGTTTGTCATATTGCTACACAAAATAATGTTTCAACGACGACGACCTCGCTTTGAAATGAGGGGTCAGCTTATCATTTCCTCTTCAAACATACCAACGAAGTTGGACTTTTTAAGCTTTCAACGGGTCCATCCTCCCCTAAGCCTCTAAGTTCCTTAGTTATTTCCTAGCAAAGCAAGCCAACCCACCAATACTTCGTACATTCCGGTACTGAGCCCGCCTCCAAGCTGATAAACTCCCCTTCCTATGAATGAAATTGCTGCTGTTGCTTGTGCTTGACGCCGCAAACATGATCTTCCCTCAGTCTCGGCAGCGAGAACCTTTAATCAATCTTGCACACTTTCAAGGAATGGCTAACCAACTTCGCCTTTCATAAAAACAGGAGCCGCTGTGTTCATCACGACCTTTGTGGCGGGTACCATTTCCGCCCTGAACTCCTTCGAGGTAGCGCAGGTGCCGTTCCTGAGGGACGCCATCTTTGTCGTGGGGGCGTCCTACTGGACTTTCTACATCCTGTACACAGGACAGATATGGACCTCGGAGGCTGTAGGTGAGGTGAAGTGTTCTGAGGTTTCGTGCCCCACCTGCCTCTGTAAACCACATCTGGTGTGGCTATTCGGTGCACTTATTAAACGACGACGTGGGACAAGTAGTAGGCCTAACCCACAGCGATAAACTATTCTCGCATATCGTGTACCCAAATCCAGACTCTTTGGTATTTATTTTACTTGGAAAAAAATTGCCTTCGTCATTGTCAAGAAAATCCTTGTATAATTTGTTTTATATTGAGAGTAATCGGTGTGGAATTCCTTCAAAACTGTAGTATCCATCTGAAGTGATCAGTTTCATCTTTTAGGAAAAATCAAGAAACAAACAAGAAATTTGAATATTTTCACACAACATTATATCTTTCAGGATTCATATTGCTGTACATATTTTACGTGATCGTCGTTTTGGTTTCAATACGATTCACGAAGCCTGCCAATGTGACCATACCTAAGATAGACGGTAGTGGGTCTTATAAGCGTCTGGAAGAGGGTCCAAACACTGAGACCCAAGAAGTAACTAGCGACATCGATCAACTTGCCGAATGCCCTCTTAAAGATGAGCAACATGTATCAACAAACAGCTTTGAATTGGCAAAAGATGACGCAGACACGGACATGGACAATAAGTGTCAGATTGAAGATGCCTCTTGTGACTCACCCGAAGAAGTTAGCCCTGAAAGAGACTCTAACCTCAAAGATGACGACGTGGAAAAGCCAACAGCAGACGGCATAGGCGAGGATCTCATAACCGAAGAAAATGACCCTAGCGAGAACGTAGTAATCTCCTGCAAGACGCCGGAAAAAGAACCACTTCCAGCCAAGCGGAAAACTAATTTTGGAACCATACATCCCGTCGACGGACCAGGGGAGCCTTCTGACATAGGCCTCATAAAATCCAATGAGTTCTCCAGGGGCTGCACCGAACAGGAACCATTGCTCCCCAAATCAAAGAAACGCAGTGGTCCGTGCCACCAATTGGGGGCACTGTTCAGGGACGTCAACCCTATCGATTTTGAGGGATGGAAAAGCAAAGGTTACGTCATGAGAGCCTTTGAAATATTCAAGGTAACCCACCGCGTGTTTTCAAAGAGGGATTTATCAACTAGCACAACGATGAACTAAGAGGCGGGCACAAATAAAGAAATTCAATTAAAAGATTATAAGAAAATGTTCCAAACTGTCAAAATGCATACTCATTATGCAAACAGCGCCAGTACATTGGAAACCCTGCCTAGGCATCCTTGCCGTGTGAAATTTCCCCTACTAAAGATCGATGACGAATCCTTACTTGGACCTGCCCATACATTAAGTTCATTGTCCACAGTTAACAAGATGCGTCTGCCAACTTTTCATCCAAGACTGCCGAGATAATTTCAGCTCGCATGGGATCATGAAGATTTTGCTTTTCACATGTTGGTCTTTTCCATTCCTAGTCTCCAATCAAGCTGTTACTGCTAATCACGGTTCCCCTTGTCCACCACGACAAGTGTAGTTGGAATAAGCCTCTGAATTGTCTACAGCTTCTAGTTGGACCAGTCTGCTGTGTCTTCATTACGAATAGTAAGCTCAGTTCTTAAACGATAGATACTAGATACTAGACCAAGAAGGACGAGACCGTGTATTTTCTTTTCGAAAGGCTCTTCACTCCGAGCACTGCTTGACTTAAAATATCTTGAAATATTACTCTAAGGTTCATACAGTTTTACCTTCTTGATTCCTAGGTTACAATACAGTCATAGCAGGTCAATTCTACCTGTGGCATCTGGTGTTGTGTCTCGGTGCTCTTCTATTCATCATCGCTTTCCTCACATCTAAGCCAAGCCAACCTCCAGTTTACTATATAGTGAGCAAACCCAAGCTTTTCAAAACAATCCTCAAACACGAATTTAATTTTTTGAAGAAAATACAATAAAAACAAAAGCATAAAGTGACTGAAATGAATGCTGCAAAATTCAACGTTGCAATAAGTACAATATTTGACTAAACATCTTCACATTCACATACAATTAAGTTGACCTTCACGGCAGGATGTCACACGTATCAAAGGGAGGTATCTGGTGTTGATTGACGTTAAAATGATACAGTTCGCATTGTAATAATTTTACAAAATTGTTTGCCGGTATGGTTGTTCTTCTTGCAGGCATTTGCATTTCTCGGCTTCGTCATCTCTGTATGCTGGATCTTTGGCATCGCTAATGAAATCATCAATCTTTTAAGGGTGAGTTGAAGCAGAACAGACGTAGAGATGCCCCGGCTTTCATGCAGAAAATGAATAACATAAACAGTCTCCCTGAGAGAATAATTAATTTGTTCGATTATTTCTGTGAATGGGTCTGTTTTTGTGATCCAGAGCAAATTAACAACGTTGATAGAAGCATGAAGATAACACAAGTAAGGTACATTAAAATGAGACTATTTTCGATGGAAGAGGCAAGTTTGCTCTTTGGCTCTTCTCAAAGCATCTTGGGAGCTTGCTCTCTCTCTCTATGCATACAAAATTTATTATTATCATTTCTTAGATGTACGGCATTGTCTTTGACCTCAGTGATGCCATTCTAGGACTGACGTTTCTGGCATTGGGCAACTGTATAGGAGGTAAGCTCACAAATTACAATTCGAGATAATCTTGCGGTCAGAATTTAACATTGTAATATTAGATTTGCTAGTATTTTTAATGTGTTTTTGCACATTAGTTTTTAAAGTGGAAAGTAGAGAGTATCTCAGCACCGCTTTATTGCAGTTTGATTTTCCTTTTTTTTTTCAACCAGATCTCGTGAATGATATAGCTATGGCCAAGCAGGGCGCCCCCAACATGGCCATATCTGCATGTTTCGGAGGGCCCATTTTCAGTATCCTTTTTTGAATAACGTATAAATGAAACAAAAGAGGTATAGCTGTTGGGGAATTAATGTTGTAAAAAGCCTTGAAAACTTTGTCATTTTGTATTTTTAAGAAGCGTAGTTTGTCGAGATAAGTCGTGAATAGGTTTTCTTTTGCCTACCAGCTTGTGTTCCGATGCAAAGGCTTTTCCTCTTTGGTTTATATGAAAAGTATAAATCGTCGCACAAATCGTCCAAGCACGAGACGAAAATTTAAAATCAAGCCACTAAATACAGCAATATAATTACAGCAGTTCTGGCAATTAATAGTTCAATGAATTGACGAGGGCAGAATCATATGCAAGGTAGCTCCGATATTTTGGGGAAATATTGGATGTAACGTGGCAGCCACCGTAATGTTTGATCCGACGGTTCCATCTACAACAGCCCATTGATTTCCTTAATGCGCCACTCGTTCAGATATGTTGATTGGGATAGGAGTAGCAACTACCATTGCAACGGCACAGAACGGTGGAATTTTCAAAGTAGGTTATTATTTTGTCCTTTTCACGTGCTCACGGAAATTTCTAAACTTTTGGCAGGATAGGAGATAACTTCAGTTCACTGCACATTTAGTTAAACGTGATGAAAGGAATGGTTAAAGTTTTCTGTTTATTTATGGTCGTGTACAGAGCAGCGAATGCAGAGTCAAACATATTCACGGCGCATTCAATCTCGCTTTCGGTTTTGCTACTTTTATTTCAGTTGAAGACGGACACACTGCAGTTTGTATTGGCCGCCGGTCTAGGCATCAGCCTCTTCACGTCCATGTTCTTCATGATAGCAGCCAGGTTCCGGGCAACTAAAATCTATGCTGTTCTGCTGTATATCTTTTACGCGGTGTTTCTGACTATCGCCATCTTGACCGAAACCAAAGTCATCAAGTGGTGAAAAATAAATGTAAAATATCCTGCCTTCCTAGTCAGTTTATTCAACTCTCTTTTTTATACGTTTAGGCAATATTTCCTTCAACTATGAAGTTATTTAAATCTGTTTTCTCAGATAATATTTGAGACTTTTAGGGGAGTTACCACCCCTTCATACTTCTATTTTAGAATTTTGTTAACCCGAAATAATTGTTAATGCTAAACTCATCAGTTCAGTGATACTAAGATATACAATACCAAGTCTGATACCTCAGTCGTGGTCTGTGCCACATACACCTTTTTAGTTAGTTTTTCAAATGCATCCGCCAATGTTTTGAATTTCCAAGGGTTTGAAATATTTCTGGTTAAGGAAAAACTTTTTTTCCATTTATAGTGTAATGATCAGCGACGCTGTGACCTCAAAGCTATCTGTTATCTACGTGTAAATTCTACCGAAAAGAAACACAGAACACAGAACCAAATAATTTTTCTCTTTGCCAATAAAATCAAACGTTAACTGTTTATTAATTCCTTTTCGTTTTCCTTCATTGATCTTCAGCCCATTTGTCATTTTTGATCGACACAAAAAACTACAAAATATGTTTGAAAAACATGAACAACCTGAGCAAGTAAAAAAAACAAATACGGAATAACTTTGACCTTAGATTTGGCAAATTATGCAACTAAAAAGAATTCGAAAACTTAAAAAGGATTTTGCTTAAAGAAAGGGATTTCAATCCAAAGAATTTATGTCTGATCTGATTGAAATCAGTCTGCAGTAAATTTAAATGTTTTGGAGATTATTCGATGCTATTCGATACTATGTAATGACTGAGGCACGTGATAGGTATTTTGTGTAAAGGATTAATTCGGCACGTACGTTGCTCTACTGAGGGCTATATTGCGCCATGGGCATAGTTTACCAGCTAGCACAATTTGGGATTTTATTCGGATGGGTTCCGTGGCTATTCAAAATATTTGGTCAACTTTAATACTGCTAATTGATATTGATTCAGTCATGTCCAATTTATAAAACGAGATGGTTTCATTGTCTTGGAATGTCTTCACGGACGCATGTCTGACCTGGAGTCCTTTAGACAAGTGGGTAGCTTGCATTGGTCGCGATACCACACTGGTTGTTCTCGAAGCGAGACATCATGATGTACCCCTTCATACCCCACTTTTTGCCCCAACTGAAACCAAAACACAATGAGTGTATTGTTCTATTAAAAGTCGGTTTTTATGTTTCTTAAAGAGTTAGCACGCTTTAATTGCAAACAATAATCAAGATCAGTCCTCTAGAGGGCGTTCTACCCACCTGTTCTTGACCAGCCAGTAGTCTTTGCCCTCCTCCACGCCATAACCGACTGCCAGCACGCCGTGGTCGAGGACAGTCTGGCTGCATTGAGGCTCACTGTAGACACCTACAGGGGTTCGAAAGGTACGTTTGATAACTGAGCGACGAAATGACAATGACAGCTTAACGACACGGACACAAAGAGCAGAAACAGAATAAAGAGGAAAAGCGAATGAAGCCACCAACGCAATAACAGTATTGACAACGATGACGATTAAAAAAGTGAGAAGAAAACTACCAAAAAATAAAGTAAAGGGATGTAATGATACAAATAACGTCAATTAACGACAACAGTACTAATATCAGCAATAGACACCACAGTGACGTTACAAGACGAGACGTTTTGTTACCGTTGTTGTACAACTGAAAGGACATGTGACTGGCGTCAATGGCAACGCTAATTGGTCCAATGGTTGCTACGGCCTTTTGCAGCGCCTTCTCATCTTTGGCGGGCAGCAGAACGTGTGTCTTATCGGTGGCCACTACGTTAGCTGGATTGAAGCGGCATTTCCCATCCTAAATAAACGCCAAATGCATGTCGAAAATTATAGAATATAGGTAAAATTGCCCTAAAATTAACGTTTCACAAAATAAAAACCGGCTTTTAAAATTTAATCTCAAAATAAAGGGGGCCACCCTCAAAGAGAAGATATTTTCCTTACTCGTGCTTTATATGGGTAGGATGATTCGGAATCGATTCCATTGTTGTCATGGACGTATTGGAAAGCACCGTTCATGGTGCCCCCTTCGCAGCCGTTGCAATCATACGAGAGTTTCCTGGCGCAGTCCACCAGGTTTTGCTCGCTGATGCTGGGTAGTTTACCGGTCCTATTGAAAGTCTGACCTTCCAGAGCACCGGTGGCACTGAAGGCCCAACACGAACCGCATTGAAGCTGTAAAAATGTAATAGAAGAAATACATTGAAACTCTCTAAGGTTCACGTATTAAAGTCTGACAACTCGTCAAGTTGTCGGCCTATCGTCACCGTTACCGGTACGTCTGTTCGAGTAATGTATGTTTGAACTTTGCATGATATGTAACTGAAGCTGTTGAAAATGAAATACTGAAATTGAAATTGTCAAATTTTTTGTCAGTTCAGGAAAACAAAAAAAACTACAACAACAGCAAAAGATATGTGACTTTTAATACCTGATTTTTCACTCCAGTAACCCATCCCTTTTTGCGCCAGTCTACAGTGGTTGGAAGGTTGCTGATATCAGTGAAGGTGTCCATTCCCTCGGGGGGGACTTTGTCCATCACAAAGCCGTTCATCTTTTTCTTGAACTCAGAGGATGTCTAAAAGTTGGAAAGCGAATATTTTCAGGAGAGGTAAAACATAGAGGGGTGTAATTTCGATGGCAAAGTGGTTTGGCCTCTTCAGAAATAGAGTGAATGTAGTTTATGTAATGTGAATCTCTTCATAATAGCTATAAGTGTGAGAGTCGATTCTGACTTTCAACTCTAATATTGAAATAGATTACATTGAACAGTTGTGATTGCCAGGGTGTACGAAATACACTTTTGCTGTAACTTTACTTCATTTAGACCAAGACGAATCGATTTTAACGGTACTCTGCATAAACTGATGGCATGAGACGGCAGAA